ATACATATGAAGGTGATAGCAGAGATGAAACCGGCAGAATTGTTTCCTTGGAATAAATATCCCTAATAACAACACTAAAAAAAATAATCTGTCTTGATTGATTCGATTCAAAACCATTTTAAACGTGATTGAAATTATTTTGATATATGCAAAATTCTAGAAGTATTCTCTTTCAAATGGTGTAGCAATCACTTTTCACTGAAATGTAGTATTGGAGAAATCATCAGGTTACGATAATAAACTGCTTCTGTTGTTATTAGGGCCCATTTCCATAATAACAACGGTAAGCTAGTTTTCGACTTTAATCATGCCCCGCTATTTTTTTTCATTCGAATAACACAACTTAATTAACATTAGAGTCCAATAGAAATACATCATTACAGATATAGTATAAAAAAATCTATTCATCAGTAATACATCTCATTATAGCACTTGTATACAATCGGCAACATATTTAGCTATCAACTTTCTACGTCGTGTTATCCAAATCGTTTTTTCTTGTAAAATATTCTTTTGCAGAGGAAGTCAATAAGATCAAACAAATGTATATGCCTAAATTTTTATTACGTAATGAGAATAGAATTTATAGAATGAGATAATGGATGATAATCTTTTATGAAACGTGGTCATTTATACACATTACTGTTCTTTGTAACGATTTCACTAATAATAAAACAGGTTGTTTTACGTACGACATGTATATTAGTAAAATGGGAGTAGATTTATAAATGATTGAAAAAAGAAGTATGATTCGAATAAGATCAACAAAGTTGCTAGCTGAGTTTTTTGCGAATTATACACATGGGTTACAAATCGATTCTCTCAAACTATATTTGTAATGATGCATCTCTATTGGAGTCAAAACCTACCTGCATGTTATTATTAGGACCAAAAATTTGCTGTCTGTTGCTATAAGAGAAATAAGCCTTAATAACAACAGAAGTAGGTCGTTATCATAGACTTAACTGATTCTGCTTTGAAAAGAAATCATTATGAGATTGAAAGAAAATTTCATCTGTTTGTCTTCTTTTTTTTCTCAATACCAATAACAAATCGTTGTTCTATCGATTAGCGAAGAAGAAAAAATCCTTATCTTGCTTCATGACTTGTGTATACTTACTGACTCTAGACAATCTAAAAACCGTTAGAGAAAGGAAGTATGCACTTCTCATGACGTAGTTAACTGCTTAATACCAATGCTATCTGATCAAAATTCAATAGGGATGACAAATTTAGAAAAGGAAATAACGACAGTAATGTGCCATGTATAAAAATGGCTTACCATTCTCTTCTTCAATTCATTTTTCTATTTCTCATTATTTCGAAACAAGCGAGTATCAACTATGCAATTTTTCCATTTGGTCCTGGCTGTTATCATTTTGAGCGCGATGCTTCATTATCAAGTGAATAGTCAAGGTCTTGATTTAAGCTCATGCATATCTGGACAATGGGTTACATGTGGTATTATTGTAGGTTCAGCCGTTTATAAGAAGTACAATTCATGGAGTGATATCGACACAAAGCAAGCTTTTGGAACAACATGTCATTCACAATTCAAGGGTGGTTTTCATAGTTGGCAATGGAAATGGAGTGGCAAATTCTGGTGTCCATCATTAAGCTCAACTATCATGGGTGAAAGTACACAATGGAAAAGTCGTAATGGTGCTATCGAGCATGCTATTCAAGATTATGTCACAAAAATGACATCAGCTGGCTTGCTCACTTTATCTCAACTCAATTCATAATGAATTTCATTTAATTTCTATGACATCTATTCTTTCATATTTTATGTTTTCATTCTTTCTAATTTTATTCCTTTTTACTCTTTTTTTTTGATCCTACATAAAATTTGGTTTTATGTGTTAACCAAGATGAAGAAAAATTAAGTTATAAAAAAATTATTCTTGTAGTTGTATGCACATAACCAAATGTATTCAGAAATATTATTACTGATGATGGCCTCGAGCGCATTTGAATCATATACTTTTCTCATTAGGTATGAGAAAAGCAATTATAAAATACAAAAAAAAAAATGATTGTCTTTTATATAGCTTGATTCATGTATGATGACTTCAGATAGAAGCTTGGAAAAGATACACTGCAAATAAACACTGTAGAATACTAAATGAATACAAAAGCGTTTGAGAATTTGCAACCAGTCACGAATCCGTACAAACGCTCTTGAAAATCTAATAAATTCTCTCAGAAACGTTTGTATAAATGTCATTCTACTTACTTATAAATCCAAGGGTATATTACACTGTTCGCTATTTTCTTCAATCTTATATAGGTTGGCTATTGGTTGAAATTCTTCAAGTCTTTTTAAGATTTTATTGGATGAGTGGGGCCTAATCAATGACCAACTTTTATTTTTTATTCAATTAATATGTTCTAAAATAAAACGAACAAAATAAAGCATAAGATGGGACGTGAAAAAAAACAATTTTCAACAACGTAGACATGATCATATCCTTCGAAATATAGTCCTATGTCTTCAACTATTGTTGAACCTCGTGAAACATTATCCCATGAGGATTAAATTAAAGCTGTTCTTTTACATAGACAATTTGAACGTAAATGACTGTTGGTCGAAAATTTCATATACGAAGAAGACAACGCCGCATCCCATACGCATCAGAAATCATTGATATCGTGCGAAGAACAATTCGTTCAATTTATATAACAATCACAGATGACTACTAAACAGCCTTGATCTAAATGTTCCTTATTATTGCATGTGATGCACTATCATCAACTATATGCAATCCAGGATCAAGTTAAAAACTACGATTAATTAATCGATGAAGCAAGAAAAGGAATTGATCATGGACTACAAATTGATTTCATAGTATCTTGTTCATTTTGAAAAAAATTGCATCTATGAAATAAGCCATTCTTTGTTAATGTAGAACTTTTCATACTGCATCTGTGGTATATTTTCGTTTTTTTTTACAACAACGTATTATGTGATTAAAAATTCCATTGTAAAAACGGAGCCATTTATTATGACTCATATCCAACATCCTCTTAGATATTTCCTAGTCTATAAGTCTTCTATTTCTGGAAAAAAAGTTGAATTCAAAAGCTTTTTTATCACCTGAATAGCTTTCATTGTTGGTGAAAAACAATGTCCGATATATTTTGCTGGAAATTTATATAGAGATGTGCGAAACCAAGTTTTGTTTTGATTCCGGTTATTGGCTTAACAAATGTAATCTGATTTGAACCTCGATCTAGAGAAAACTACTCCAGAATTTATTCGTATCGAATACAAAAAAAAATATTCAGTATTCGCTCATCTCTCTTGAATTATGTTCTCATTGATATGATTTATAGGATAATTCTCTTCTAGCTATACCAAACTTAACTATACTCTTTAGGCCCTGTAGGAACATAACAAAACTAGA